CCTTTAATTTCAGCCTTTATATTAATAATAAAACTAATCTGCAATCTCTCTCAAATACTTTTATGCTAAAAGCAATTAGGTGGATATCCTCTTCGCTCCTTAGAGAGAAAGTAGATTTAGATATGCAGAAAAAGCTTTGTCATTAAGGGCCCAGGTAACTACAGTCCTCTAATGGTTAATGGTAGGAGGAATTGAGCTCAAATAGTAGCATGTAGTTCAAAGTAAAAACATTTGACCTAAAATTCCAGGGTGCACTCAGTAATTGGTGAATGTGCCAAGAGGTTATGAAAGCAAAGCCTTAGAGTCTTTAGAGAACAGAGAGCAAGTTCACTCAAAGAAAAAGAAAGAAGAGGAAGCAAAAAGAAAGAATACAACAGAAAAGAAGCAAAAGGGAGTATTAAAGGGTTTGCTAAAGAAGGTTTTGTATTATTTCCTCCTTGATTATAATGCTAACTACATGCATTACTAGTTATATAAATACTAAATATGTGCATACATAATAAAATGAATTGGGGGGGGGGTTCTTCGAAATACATTCTCAAATGTATTGTCTGAAATTAAACTGGTGATTTTAAGGCCACTATGATCACGTTCAGGGAATTTAAAAAGATTTAGGTACTATTAAAAGTTTTAATATCTTGTTGGTTGTCTTTGTATCTTATGCAATATTTTCATTAATTTTCCAAAAATTTTCCAGAAAACATTTTGACTTGGAAAAAGTAGGTGTTATTCTAAATGGACACTATATTCTATGGATAAAAACAATTCTTCCCCTTAACAGCACAAATACTGATAGACAAATTCTGTCTATCATCTTAGATGAAACAATTTAATTTATTTGGACTTTCTAGCACTCCTCACTATATGTGTTTTGCATATGAAAAGAGAATTATCTTGCTTTGCCTTATTTTTTTTAGTGATTTTTTTTTTTTTTTTTTTTTTTTTTTTTAAATATTTATTTTTTAGTTCTCGGCGGACACAACATCTTTGTTTGTATGTGGTGCTGAGGATCGAACCCGGGCCGCACGCATGCCAGGCGAGCGCGCTACCGCTTGAGCCACATCGAATATATTCTTCGTAGAAGCCTTACAAAGTTGTCAAACACTGTAGATCTTCAATTAGCACATGCATAAAAATGCAAGTTGTTATAACTTCTACCTTATGCTTCACTCAAAGTGAAGGAGAAATACATTAGGCTTTATATGAATCAAATAGATAATCTTCATTTTACAAATGATTTGCATATAGAATGAGTGTTATTATAGGAAGTTCTTAGTGTAATCAAGATCAGCTTCGTGTTTCCTATTTTAAGGCATGTACCAAATCTTTTTCTCCATCATTAAGTCTGTAGCATAGATTTTGCTTGATGGCATATTTTATTATTTCAAATCTTATCTATATGCTATATAGGACAGATTTTCTTATTTTTTTTTTCAAAATTTCATTAGAGTGTGATAGTTTGTTTTTCTAAAGTAACCTCAAACCTTTTTGTCTAAATAGAGGGATGTAAATACGGATTAATAAAAATATGTACTTAAGCTAAAATCTCTATTGTGTTCAAAAGAAAAGTGGTCTTTAAAATGTAACTCTGATTTGGTCTCCCATAAGATTTATCACTTACTTATAATTTTGTGTTAGTAACATTTTAAACATTTGTAAATTTTATTGATAACCATCTTCATCTGTCAATTGAAATTTCAATATCAATAGTCATTCCTTGAAGCAAAGGAATTTGAACATTTTTGCTCACTTCTGATTTCTTTACTTTTGATTTTATTCACTTTTGATTTCATCCTGATGGTCATTCTGCCATTTTATCCAAAGTAAAAATATGCTAAAAATAGTCTCATTTTAACTTACATGACTCTGGCTCTGAAATTTCACTTGGGTCTGTGCTTTTATAATGGTAGGTGAGGGAGTTAAAAAATCAGGTAGATAAATTATTTCAAATTGAATGATGCATAACACAGTTAAACCATCTATTATTCCTATGTTTTTGTGCCTTTCACTGTGATTTTATTACTTTTAAGATAAATGATTTTGAATATAGTTGATATGCAGATATATTTAAGATTTAACCACCAGCATTTACTCTATAATTAAAAATTGAATGGTTTAAAAAAGTTTGCTGAGGGCCTTTTTATACCTGCATGTGGTTTCCAGATATCTGAAAAGAAATAGTTTCTGTTTTTTTTTTTTTTAATTTTTCCATGGTTTTCTGATGTATATAGTTTATTTTCCCTCAAAATAATAAACAAATATCATTTTAGAAGATGCCTACAATGCATTTATATAGCCAAGGAAGGATGGAACAAGATAGGTGAATGTTCTGTGGTTCTCATGCCAGGTGGGTGTGGCAATCTTTAGAAGCTCTTTAAGCCTGAGATCAGACCTTTGACCTTGGCAGCACTGAATCCTGGACTCAGGGTGGGTCCTTGGCATGTTTAATTTTTAAAGCCGTAAGTGAATATGATGGACTGTAGGACTGAAAACATCTAACTCATGCATTTAGTCTCCTAAAAAGGATATACAAATTCACATAATTTTTTTACTAGCAGACTTAAAATTGGGCCGCTGAATACTCCTTCACTAATATATTATCTCTGTTTTCAAAAACTGAAATTATTCTATTTCTGGTCAAATTTTAAAACCCAGAAACTTGGGACCACTTTTTTCCCCTGGTTCTACCACTAGTTATACCATTCTTAACATTTTCATTAAACTGTTCTGTGCTCTAAAAGTGATGTATGTGCAGACCCTCTCCAGAAATGAGAAAATTATCTGTTTTATAGAATACAAAAATAAATTACTGAGTTGCCATGGCAATATTATTTAGTTATCTTACTTATTATGTGTGTACAAGGGCAGATGTGTATATAGGTATTTATTTGCAAATAGTATTTTATAGGAAATATACTGATTATTAACACATTTTCTTTCACTTATTCAACAAACTTTAAACCTCTAACACTCCTGTCAATGCTCTCAAATACCAACATTATTTAATGATCAATTCACAAATTCATGTCTGGATTTCAGATCTTGGTAATCCCAGGTAAAGCAATGATTAAGTTAAAAATGAGATATGCAAATAGTGTGTAGATTTATTTGCTTCATATAAATTTACTGCTTACTCAGCACTTTGAGATTGTTTCATAATAACTCCCTTTGGCAATGAAGGGGATTTCTTCATTTATTCTCTAATTTCACTTATCAACTAACTTTTTGTTCACTCAGTATTTATAGAGTATTTATTCTGTACCAGATGAAATCCCTGGAAGCTGGGAATACAAAAATAAGCAAAATTATCACTCATACTGATCTTCATTACACCTAAGAGCTATTGTTCAAGACAGACATTAATGTCATGCAAGTGAATGTAGAATTCAACCTGTGCTAAAGGCAATAACTCAGGGATCTAACTTTCTCTGTGGCAGGAGTTGGGGTGCAGGAAGGCCCAGGGGGAGGTAAGACTTCTCTGAGAAGATGGCATTTAGGAAGGATTCAATATGCAGCACCTCCATAAACTTCTATATCAAGAGAGAAGAGTAAATAAAAAATGTCTAGTGCTTTCACGTATCTGAAATAGAGGGAAAGTGAGATTCTTAAATGTGTTTAAAACTATCTTTGATGTGTGAGTCTGAAATGACTTTTACTTTTTTATAGGTAACATTGAATTTATAAGAGTTCATTTTTATGAAGGTCATCAAAATTCAGAATGACTGTTCTCGTAATTCTTTCTATAAGTAGCCAGATATGATGGTGCACACCTGTAAACCCAATGACTCAGGAGGCTGAGGCAGGAGGATCAAGGTCAAAGCCAGCAATTGTCTCAAAACAAAAAATAAAAGTGCAGGGCATGTGTCTCAGTAGTAAAGTATCCCTGGGTTTAATCCCTGGTGCCAAAAAAAAAAAAAAAAATCCAGTATATACTCTTCCAGACTTAATTATTAACTGTTTTCACTCTGAAGAGTAAGTTGTGTGGGAAGCTTATCTAGAATGAAAGCCAATACAGCCCGCTTAATTCTCAGACCAACTTAGAAAGAAAGTTCTGATGAGTGTCTACTCTAGAAAAGTGCAGACTTCTTCATATTTTTGCACAATTTCCTGCTGTAGGAGCAATGAGTTGTAATCTATAAGAAAAATAGCTTCACAATAACTGAACAACAATTCAACTTCAACAATTTAACTTCTTCCCTCTCTTACTTAATTTTATTTCTTCCCTTCCTTTTCTTTTTACTTTTAAAAGCATACAGATGTTTTTGTAAGTCTATACTATGGTTGGCCCAGTGCTAGGTAACTTGAAGAATGTTTTGAGATGACAAAACCTGGGATTCAGCTGGACTATGTACTCTGGCTAGGAGGAGAAAAAAAAGATATTCTTAATCATGCTGTTGGAGACCAGTGTTTACTCCTTTGTGTTAAACAATTATAAAGAAATTCTCCTATTTCTATTCTTCATACCCAAAGACCTAAGAACCTCTTTACTTTGGTAAGTCAGGACCTTCCCCTTCCTTGGAATATGAAGATTAGAATATCCAAATTTAGAATGCTTAAGTATTTGGTCAATGAAGGGGAAATCTTCTAAAACCCTCTTGTAGAGCCTGGGCTCCTTTTTTTTTGATAGAGACACTATTTTTCTTAGAGGTTACAACTAAATTTCAGGGGTTGACAAAGTGCCAGTCATAAAAGCAAATGGATATCCTCAGTCCCAGTTGTCTTTTTCTTTTATGGTATGTTTTCTCCAATGGACTGAGTTTACCATAATCGCCATTGCTGGGGCCACAAGCATCCCTCTTCATTATTCTCACTGCACTGTGATATTGCTGTCCCCCGTTGGGAAGCAGGAGTAGGTTCCTTTTGTGCTGGATTCTCCATGCTTCCATATTCTGTTTGTCTCAGGGGAGAGGAGAGAGGCAAGACAAACGGTATATATGTCTGAGACACACTTCATGCTTATCCTGCTCTCTGTTCCAATTCTTTCTTTTTCTTTCAATTCCAGAGAACCCTGCTTACTTATCAACTGAGAAAATATTAAAATTATAACTTGGTTTTCAAAAATTCTATTGTCTCAGGAGCTCAGCTTTCAGAAAGGTAAAGAATTTGCTTTTCTATTCTCTTTGTTCATTTGCTTTTTTTTTCCTCCTGAAAACAAAAACAAAATAAAACAAAACAAACAAAAAACCACTTGCTTGAAGATATTAAAGTCTCCCCACTCTAGTAAATCTCCCAGTGAGTGAACAGTTTAAGGGAAATCTGAGAATGTAAATTTATCCTGTACTGAATATTTTGGTTTTCCTGACATAGAAATAATTGCAGATCTCTTCATATTCTGCTTGAAGTCCCCAAACACTCACATGAGATCTATAGTGTCTGATGTAGGCAGCTTTCTGTAGCATTGTGATTAAAAATATGGGCTTCAGTCAGAATGGTTTGGTTTGAATTTGTTACTCACTTATTACAAAAGGTTGGACACATTATTTAACATTGTCCTGAGTCTGCTTCCTCACTATAATTTAGAGGTAATAATAAAGCCTTCTTCAGAGGCTTCATTTGGAAATAAATATACAGCCCGCTTCCTGGCATATGTTAGGTACTTAATAAATGCTAGCTAGTATATTATTCAGCGCTCTGTTACTATAACAGATACCTGAAATAAACAACTTATAAAGGTAAAAGGGTTATTTGTTATCAAAGTTTTGGAGGTTTTAGTCCATAATTGGCTACTTCTGTCACACTGAGCCTGTGTCAAGGCATCCCATCATGGTGAAAGCACATGGTAGAACAAAATCGCTCATCTCATGGCCAGAAAGCAAAAGAAAAATTGAAAGAGGAAAAGAGAATGAGGTCTCAATAGTCCCCTTTGGAATGATCCTTCAGTGACCCGAAGACCACTCACTTCATCATCCCCTTAAAGTTTTCGCCATCTTCAATGAGTGTCAAGCTGAGAACAAGCCTTTATGGACCTTAGGGGAATTCTTAGCTAATAATCTGATTAAATAATCTGAATAAAAAATTAGCAAAAGACCTAAACAGACATTTATTCAAAGAAGAAAAGGTATACAACACAGAAAGGTGCTCAATATCATTAATCATCAAGGAAATGGAAATCAAAACCATTGTGAGATACCAATTCACACCTGTTAAGATGGCTATTATCAAAAAGCTAAAAGATAACAAATGTTGGAGAGAGTATGGAGAAAAGGGAACTCTTGTATACTTTTGGTGGGGATGTAGACTGGGTGTAGCCATTACAGAAAACAGTATGGGAGTTTCTAAAAAAATTAAAATCCAACTGTGATGTGACCTAGCAATCCTTTCTGGGCAAATCCCCCACAAAATGAAATCACCCCCTTATAAAGATACATGCACTTCCATGTTTAACACAGGGCTATTCACAATAGACAAGCTAGGAAAACAACGTAACTCCATTGACAAGGAAAGCAATGGATAAAGAAGTATATTGAATTCAGGGATGCTTTACCACTGACCTGCATTCTTAGTCCTTTTCAGTCCTTTTTTATTTTTGTAAATTTTGAGGCAAGGTCTCAATAGTTTGCTGAGGCCTGCCTCAAACTTGTTATCCTCTTGCTTCAGTTTCCCAAGTCTCTGAAATTACAGTTGTGAGCCACTATGCCCACTAAAAAGGTCATTTTCTAAGACAAAACCAAAATAGACCATTTCACCCCCAATATACAATATGGAAACTACAAGATGTGTTCACAGGAAAAGGCCAGATGTTAAATACAACTTTACCACAATGGAATGTACCATCATTTGCCTTAGTTATTCCAATAGCTTCCCAGGTATGAGTCTAACTTCTTACTTCAGAGCCTGTAGTCCATTCTCAACACTACCTCCAGTTTCTTCTTTATATAAAGCAAAACTAATAATGACTTGGGCCCGTTGTTCCTGAGCTTGATGTGGTTCTGAATTTATGTAGAATAATCTGGGGAACTCTGGACTTCATCCTCTAGGCTTAGATTTAGATTATGAGCTTGTCCCACTAATCTGCATTTTGATGAAATATGTTGGGTTTGCTCTATTGTTTCTATTCCAAAAGTTATATATTGAGAAAACATTGACCACCACAGAATGATGTTCAAATATATTTACATATTTTCAAAGAAAATATTTGTCAAAGTCCTTTCTGCAGTTTTTGTTTTATTTTATATTGTTTTGTTTGAAATGATTGGTCCTTAAGTACTCTGTGCCTCAGCTCTAGGTATTATCTTCCCATGCTCTCTTTCCTCTGTGCCTTTCAGGACATTTATTTTTTTCCTTTTGCTTTGACTATCTCCTACTCTCCCACTACTGTCTGAGATGTTTCCACCAAGTCACGCAGCCAGATTACATTCTTAATCCTTTGTCACTCTAACTTCCTCTTCATAGTCTTGCTGTTGTTGTTATTAGATATGACACATTTTTCTTTTTATTGACATATAATAATTATACATATTTGTGGGACACAATGTGATAATACACATATACATATATAATGATCAAATCAGGATGAAAGAGTTTTCACCTTGCCTTTTAATGACCCATCTCTCCCTTCCTTACCACTCCCTCTTTGTTTGACTATGGTCTCCCTAAAGTAAGTAAATAGGTGTTGATCACTACTTTGATCCAACATGTTCTTCTCCACTTAGAGTAGTGTAAAATGCATTATTGCTAAATCAAGTACTCTATCTTCAAATCTGTGTCTCAGATTCATCATATGTAAAATAGAAAGGATATGTATATACATATTATATAGTCTTATAGATTTTTGTTTTCTAAGCATCTTTTTCTTTCCAAAGCTAATGGTAAACTAAAAAGATAATCAAGGTGAGATGGTAATTTATTGGTTGGGTGGGCTTTATTTTGTAATAAAGTGTCTGTTACTTCCAAGGAATTCCATATGCCTCTTGGCTGCATCCTAACATAAAACTATGAAATATTGGATCATTTCAGATACAGAGATTAGATAATTTATATTCTTGTCTTTTGTAGAGTAGGACTGATTAGACATGACTCATTATTAAACAAAATCTTAAATACAGAATTCATGTAAGTGGATTTAGTCAACTTCCATCCAATTAGATTTTCTCTCTTCCCTTGACCCTTCATCAGTGTCTTGCCTGTTGTTCCCATAAACTAAATTAGAAATTTAATGATAATATCTCTATTAATTTCTATCCTTTATTTTTATTTGCTCATACACCTATTCTCAGATACACACAGGCACACACTGAGATGCATACAATATGTTATGCAAATGAAGGAACTCATACAAAAATATATATAAATAGGGAAAATAGCTTTTCTATGATCACAATATCTACACTAAAGTTCCTAATTTATCCAGACAACTTGACATTAAATATGAAATAAATTAAATGTTAGTCATACTGATTAATATATTATGATTTATAATTTATGAACCACCTTTAAGGTAGGTCAAAAATCCTAATGTAAACTAATGATAAACTAAAATTAATTATGAGACTAAACTAAATTAATTATGAGAAGAAAATTGCATATTGTTCAGTTTTTGTTCTTTCTATGCCTACTCTTGGATTTATGTTCACATGAAAGATTTATAGTTTAGGTTTTTGGGTGTTGTTTTTTTTTTTTTTTTCATTTGTTTTAAGGTAATTTATGGCCACTTTTCCTTATCCAACGAAAACCAAGCAAAGCGAAACAAAACCCAAACCCCCTTTGATAGGGAAAAGCAGAGTGCCTGAGTGAGAGGTGTAAGGAAGGGGCAAGAAGAAGCATATGCTATGGTTTAATGCTCAGGGCTTACAAAAGCATAGTGTTGGATTGGTAATTGGATTTCTGAGCATTGCTTTTGAGAATAGACTGCTTAAATCATTGAAAAGGAAATCATTGTAGGAAAGAATTGCACAGGCTGTTTGAGTACTTACAAAATAAGAAAAACATAAGTAACAATGAAGAGCTGGTTTTGTGTTGTTGAGATTTGACATCTTTAAAAACCTGATATTGTAGCTATAGTTTTGATCTTTATTCCTTTGTTGAATAAAGTCCCAATGCATTTTGAGCCATACTTTCAATGAGGGCTGAAATAAATGAGACCTTTAAAATGCTTTTAGAGAAAGAAAAATAAAGAAATTTTCTCCCAAGTCTACATTATACTTTTGTATGAAAGACAGATATGGACAAGTATACATCTTTATTCTTGGTTTGTTTCACATGTTTACTGCTCAGGCAGTTAAACTGCTTTTCTTAAAATGTTAGAAGATCCCTATACCCATGAACTTTCATGTAAATAGACAGACTGACACTCAGTAAGCATCCAAAATTATTTTGATATTCCATAGGAGGTCTGGGATTGAGACAGGGGATGATGTCTCTAGTGTTAGCCTCTTGAAATATGAATATAAATTTCCCATCAGCAATTTGTAGCAAAATATTTTACTTTCTAAACAAACAGAGTCCAAGGCATGTCTCCTGGCCACCTTTTCAACAATATCTATTTGTTATCCCAGTTTATCATGAACATGGGCAAAACTTTTATTCTCAGATAACTGGTATCTGTTTTTCCTTCCTCAAATTTTAGCATTTTGCAATAAAAGAAGCAGAAGGAAACAATGAAAGACAAGAAACAGATTCCTGGGAGACTTTGCTAAACATATTGTTCTATTTTCCTTGGAGGTATCCAACACAGATATTTACCTGTCCTTGCTAAATTTGCCACAGAAGGAATTTTTGTTGAGTATCTATTCTGTGCCAGGCAATTTGCTAGTTATCTTAATCATATATATATAATACACTTCTCAAAATAACCTTTCCTTCCCTTTACAGTGAGAAATGGAAAACCCAGATAGTGATTAAAATTCCTTGGGGTTACCAGAGCTAGTATTTCTATCCAGTTCTGTCAAAAACATTTCTTTCTATAATGCAGTCATTTATTTTAAACATTAGTTGTATTTGAAGCCAATTTAAAAACTGTATAATTGTCTTCGGGGAATATTCATTTCATCTGGAGTTTCTTTTTTTCTATATACTATTGTTAGGTTTAAAAGTAAATGTACTCCTCTCTTTGTTCACAGAGAGGACAGGAAGACACTTTTATACAAGGGTTGGAG